AAATTCCGTTGATTTTTGAGAATTTTTTTGGTTAAAGGTGTTTCACGTTTTTTCCATACAAAGTATGTCGACAATTTTCTTTTATATGGAGGACACTGCCAGCAAAAAAATTCATGTGGATGGATTGCAGAGATATTTCTTACCTTTTTTACATAAAAAATAATCTTAGTATTATGAATATTTTTCAAAAGATGCGCCCATTGAATATCAGTTCCATTTGTTTTCTCCACAAACAGCACTTTCCTTCCTACGTATGATTTGTTTGTCATTACCACTCGAACTCATTGAAAGTATGCCGTCATTAGTATTATTGCTACTTACACGCTCATTTGAATCTTTTATACAACTCTGGTTCAATTACTTACTTGTAGCTAGGCGTAACGTGTGTTTTCAGTTCTTCTCCTGCATCTCCAGGTTGTGTATCTCTTTTAAGAACTCACAGCAAATGCCTTTGTTTATTGCCACTTTCATTAAGGCTCTACTTTGTACTTTGCTTTATTTGAATCCTTTCGGTTTATATATATGTATGCCTACAGTACCATTTTTTGCTGCTGCCCTGAAAGCTTAGTTCCGGTCACTTCAGTACTTTCTGCGCATAAATTCACTCCTTTGCGTACATCTCCCACCGCTTTCTTACTTTTTTTGTTACTCTTTCTTTATGATTGACAAAGCGGTATATTTTTCAATGCCTTTTATATACATTACATACATACCTATGTATGTATGTGTGCATGTATGTAGGTGCTCCAATAGGAGACTCCTCTAAATGCTTCAGCGGCTTTCAGAAAAAGAAAAAAATCAACTCACTGTGGTTGTATGCACTTTAAACATTTCGCTTGCCTATTGGCAGCTGCCATTTTTTAAGACCTTTTGCAATTTCGCAAATTGCGCAAAAACCTAATGGGCATGTCATAATTTCTCATTAGAAGCATGCCGGCACATCATTCATACGCCTACACAACATTTCGCTTTACCTCCTTTCATTCTGCCAACAGCGCCAAAGCTTAATGTTTTTTTTTTGCTTTTCTCCACACGGCATCATTTCGAATTGGCTTAGTTACCAGTCCGGCCACACTTGTTTGCACATGAGTGAGTTGTGTGTGTGTTTTCTTAACGCCATCACTATTTGTTTGTGTGTAAAGTTTCCTTACAATTTGTTCTACTAACGATTCGCGTTTAACCCTTCAATGGTGGCGCGTATGCGCTCTAATTTCGCTTAATTTAATTTAAGCGCTTCATTTGAAAGCGTGCATCATCGCCAGCTCAACGCCATTTTGTTATCATTCCAATTATGCCAACCCATTTGCGCTGGTTGCGGAATGTCGAAAAGAAATTCTTAGCCTTAATGAACGAGTAAACAATTTTAGTTGTACTAATTTTGAGATGCTTGCATTTTTACAGAAACGGAAAATACCCAATAAACATCGAGCTTGGTTAACAATTCAAAAATGGTTGAAAAACGAATCTTTTTTCTCTCTTGGTACTATGGTTTCCATTTTTTTTTTGAACCCATCTCGATTGTATTTCCAATACATTACGAACGTTGGAACACTAAGTTTGGTTATGAGTTCATTCTCAGTTCGATATTCACAATTAGATAGCGAAGGTAATTTTCAAAGGTTCGCCACAATGTTAATTGGGTAGTTTATGTGGAAGAAATAGTGTTGGAAATTGTTCTAAAAAAGCTGGTTGCACACGAGTTGAGGTGAACTGGTGGAGAGTCGTAACTCTGCCAGGCAAAAGCGTGGGTGGGTCATAAAAAGAAGTTTGCTGTAACTACGTAACCATTAAACCAATGCTCTTTGACTACGAAAATGGTGTGGTTTTAAGGATATACATACAGATCTATACTTATGAATGTAACGGGTGATTTTTTTGAGGTTAGGATTTTCATGCATTAGTATTTGACAGATCACGTGGGATTTCAGACATGGTGTCAAAGAGAAAGATGCTCAGTATGCTTTGACATTTCATCATGAATAGACTTACTAACGAGCAACGCTTGCAAATCATTGAATTTTATTACCAAAATCAGTGTTCGGTTCGAAATGTGTTGAATGTGTGAAAAGTTGGCAGAAAATCCGCTTTTTTATCGACAAATTTTGTTCAGCGATGAGGCTCATTTCTGGTTGAATGGCTTCGTAAATAAGCAAAATCATGCGATTTGACGCCTTTAGACTATTTTTTGTGGGGCTACGTCAAGTCTAAAGTCTACAGAAATAAGCCAGCAACTATTCCAGCTTTGGAAGACAACATTTCCGAAGAAATTCGGGCTATTCCGGCCGAAATGCTCGAA